TGGGTCTCACTGCCTTTTCTCCTTTCGGTGGTTGGGTTTTGCTCTGAGGCTGTAAACCATTTGGGTTCTTCAAGGACCAGCAGATGCCATGTGTGCCATGAAGCCCTGCCTGGCTCCCCCTCCAGAAGTGGTGTCTGCCTCCTGGGCAGGAGCCCCAGCATGCCTGGGCCACCCCTGTGCTCCATCCCTTGCTGCCCTTTGTCCAGTCCTGGGTGAGTGCACCTTAACCGCCCCCCGTCCCCACACACACACATATACCATTGTAAACCCGACTGTAAACCATCTGAAAAACGTGGGAACCACATTTTACTCCTAGTTATACTCTTAAGAATGTTTAGCACATAGCAGTTACTCAGGAGATGGGAGGGAGAGAGCAGAGAGCGAGCAAAGATGAAGGAGAGACTTCTTTACATTTCCATCAACAATATACAACAACAAAACGGGGTCCCTTTTTCCACATCCTTGCCAACACTTATTATCTTTTGACTTTTTGATAATAGTCATCCTAACCGGAGTGATAATAATCATCCTAATCACCATGATTAGTGATATTGAGCATCTTTTCATGTACCTGTTAGCCATTTATTTATATGTCTTCTTTGGGAAAATGTTTATTAAGGTCCTTTGCCCATGTTTTAATTGGATTTTTTGTCTTTTTTACTATTGAGTTGTATGAATTTCTTATATTTTTTGTATATTATCATTATATAATACACACACACACACACACACACACACACACACACACACGGTGCCAAAAAATGTATACACGTTTTAAAAAAGGAAAAAAACTATTAAAATTGTAATACTCAATATATGCCAATAACAAAAGATGAAGACAAGTCATGTTTGACTTCTTCAATTACAAGCGGTGCTCAAAGTGGTTACCATCAGCATCCAGACACTTCTGATTATGGCAGACTACTGCTTTGAGCAATGTTGACCAAAGTGTCCACTTGTATACATATTTTTGGCACCCCTGGTGCGTGTGTGTGTGTGTGTGTGTGTGTGTGTGTGTGTGTGTGTGTGTATACCTGAGTATATCAAATATACCCTTATCAGATATATGGTCTACAAATATTTTCTCCTATTCCGTAAGTTGCCTTTTAGTATTGATTGTTTCCTTTGCTATGCAAAAATGTTTTAGATTGATGTAGTCCCACTTGTTTTTCTTGCCTATACTTTTGGTGTCAAATCCAAAAAAAAATCATTGTCAAGACCAATGTCAAGGAGATTTTCCCTACGTTTTCCTCTAGGAGTTATATAGTTTCAGGTATTACATTTAAGTCTTTCTTTCATTTTGAATTGATTTTTGTGTATGGTGTAAGATAAAGGTCCAATTTCATTCATTTGCATGAGGATATCCAGTATTCCCTACACCATTTATCGAAGAGAATGTCCTTTCCCCATTGCGTACTCTTGGCATCATTGTCAAAGATTAGTTGACCATATACATGTGGGTTTATTTCTGGGCACCATTCTGCTCCATTAGTCTATGTGTCTGTTTCTATGGCAGTACCATACTATTGGGTTGTCGAAAAAGTCATGACGTATTTTTTCTATGTTTTTCATTTCAAAAACGCGTCATGACTTTTCCGACAATCCAATATTTTGATTACCATAGCTTTGTAATACAGTTTGAAATCAGTAAGTGTTATGACTCCGGCTTTGTACTTGCTCAAGATTGCTTTAGCTTTTTGGGGTCTTTTGTGGTTCCATACAAATCTTAAGATTATTTTCTCTATTTATGAAAAGTGCCATTGGAATTTTGATAGAGATTGCTTTGAATCTGTAGATCTCTTTGGGTAGTATGGACATGTAATTCTTCTGATCCATGAACATGGATATCTTTCTATTTATTTATGTTGTCTTCAGTTTCTCTCATCAATGTTTCATAGTTTTTAGTGTGCAGACCTTTCCCCTCCTTGGTTAAATTTATTCCTAAGTATTTTATTCTTTTTGATGGTATTGTGAATGCGATTTTTAAAAATTTCTTTTTCAGATAGTTCATTATTAGTGTATAGAACTGCAACTCATTTTTGTATATTGATTTTTGTATCCTGTAACTTGACTAAATTAGCTTCTTTTTTTTTTTTTAGCTGAGCCATCCTGCCACCTGTTGGTAGCACAGCGGCAACTCAGCTCGGGCTAGACTCGAACTGCTGTTGCTCAGAGCTCAAACCCTTGAGCGAGCTCTTAACCATCTGAGCCACTCAGCCAGCCCTGAATTAGCTTCTTAGTTTGGACAGTTTTTTGGTGGAGTCTTTAGGGTTTTCCATATATAAGATTATATCATCTGCGACTAGTGACAGTTTTACTTCTTTTCCAATTTGAATGCTTTTTTTTTTTTTTCTGGGTTGATTCCTGTGGCTAGGACTTCTAGTACTGCGTTGAATAGAAGTGGCAAGAATGGGCATCTTTGTCTTGTTCCTGATCTTAAATGAAAAGCTTTCAGCTTTTTACTATACAGTGTGATGTTACATATGGACTTGTCATATATGGTCTCTATTATGTCAAAGTACATTCCTTTTATACATAATTTCTTGAGAGTTTTTTGTATCATGAAAGGATGTTAAATTTTTTCAAATGCTTTTTTCCTGACCTATTGAGATGGTCATATGATTTTTACCCCTCATTTTGTTAATGTAGTATATCACATTTATTGGTTTGTGTATGTTGAACCATCCTTGCATTCCAGAGATAAATCCCATTTTATCATAGTGTAGGATCCTTTTAATATGCTGTTTAATTCAGTTAGCTAGTATTTTGTTGAGGATTTTTGCATCTGTGTTCATCAGGAATATTTATTGACCTGTAATTTTCTTTTCTTGCACTTTCCTCATTTTTGGTAACAATTTAATGCTGGCCTCAAAATGAGCTTGGAAGTGTTCTCTTCTGTTCCATTTCTTGGAATAGTTGGAAAAGGACTGGCATAAATTCCTCTTCAAATGTTTTGTAGAATTCATCAGTGGAAACCATCCAGTCCTGGGATTTTTTTTGCTGGGAGATTTTAAATTACTGATTCAATCGCCTTACTCATTATTGGCCTGTCAGATTTTCTATTTCTTCATGATCCAGTCTTGATAGATTGTATGTTTTTAGGAATTTATCCATTCTGAATTATCCAATTTGTTGGCATATAATTAATTATTCATAATATTCTCTTATGATCCTTTGTATTTCTATTGTATCAGTTGTAATTTCTCCTTTTATTTTTTATTTAGTTATTTTCTTTTTTCTTAGTTTAGCTAAAGATTTGTCAATTTTATTTATCTTTTCAAAAACCAAGTCTTAGTTTTGTTGATTTTTATCTATTGTTTTTTAGCTTATAGTTCATTTATTTCCACTCTGATCTTTTTATTCCTTCTTTCTGCTTACTTTGGACTTAATTTGTTCTTTCTCTAGTTCCCTGAGGTATAAAGTTAGTTTGTTTAAGATTTTTTCTTTCATGTAGGCATTCAATGTCGCTCTTAGAGCTTCTTTTGCTGCATCACATAAATTTTGGTATGTTGTATTTCCATTTTCATTTGTTTCAAGATATATATCTGCTATATAGATTATATGTAGATTTATATATAAAATTTCCCTTTGTTTTCGTCTTTGGTTCATTGGTTGTTTAGGAGTATGTTGTTTAATTTCCACATATTTGTGAATTTTCCAGTTTTCCTCCTATTATTGATTTCTAGTTTCATACTGTTGTGGTCAGAAAAGATACTAATATGATTTCAACCTTAAATTTGTTAAGACTTGTTTTATGACCTAACATATGATCGATCTATCCTGGAGAATGTTCCATGTACACATGAAGAGAATGTATATTCTGGTGCTGTTGGATAGAATGTTTTCTTACATATATATATAATCTATTAGGTCCATTCAGTCTGAAGTATAGTTCAAGTCCTATGTTTCCATACTGACTTTCTGTCTGGATGGTCTATCCATTGTTGAAAGTAGGGTATTGATGTTCCCTACTGTTATTGTATTCCTGTTCATTTCTCCCTTTAGATCGGCTAGTATTTGCTTTATATATTTAAGTGCTCCTATCTACCATGATTTTAAATTAGTGATGAGTTTTTGAAGAACTCTTTCACAATTAAATTTGTGATTTGACATTGGTCAGTATGGGCGACAAACTCACAGGTACTGATAATGCTACTGTGGTTTGCTGCTTACATTCATGCATAAAATAAATAGCAAATTTCAGTTAGATCTTGGTGACAATTAAAATATAATTTTCCCAATAAATTTACTGTAAATTCCTGGTCCCAGTCTAGGGTTTCCTCCCTGTCTGTTTATACCTCAGGCTCACTGAAGGAGCTCACAGGGCACCCACTCAATCTCAGGGTCCCATTTATGTCATGACCCACCCCAGCCCTACCCTTAGAGAGTGGGATTTCAGTCTGCATTCATTCATTCAGCAAGTACTGAGCACCAGCTCTTTGCCAGCCCTGTGAAATATAATGAGATCCAAAGTGAAATAAGATGAGGTCCCTGCCTTCAGGCTGCTTAACATCTACTTAAGGAAGAGCATCAGAGGTACCATTCCGAAATGCAAAATGTAAATAAGCAGAGGAACATGCCTGCCTGTCCTAGTAATCAAAGGTGACACCCAGCGATGATGAGGTTGGGGTTCAGTGGTCACTACTGGTCCAGGTAATCCTTCTGAAAATAAGTATGGTATTGCATAGTATTGATCATGGAAATTCCATACCCTTCTTTCTGAGCATTCTTACTCTTCCAGATTTGTCCTGAAGAAATAATTTAGGAAGAACAAAGGGTGGAGGGCAGAGGTCCGTCCCCCTCCTCTTTCTGGATCTGTGCCCTCCTCGAGAAGGGCCAGGTCTCATTCAGCTTGTCCCCATGTGGTAGCACATGTTAGCACTCATGAAGGCCTGTCAGGTGAATGTTTGACCACCATGCAGTTACGATGAACAAGAGACAGATGGTAGGAAGGGCAGTCTAGCAGCCCTGCACTGACTAGTTCCTGTTTTCTCCTTCAGCCACCAAAATGTCGGGAGAGATGGACAAACCGCTGATTAGCCGTCACCTGGTGGACAGTGACTGCAGTCTTGCAGAGGCTCCCAGTGAGGCTGCCAAAGTGGGCATCCTGGGCAGCGGAGACTTTGCCCGCTCCCTGGCCACACGCCTGGTGGACTCCGGCTTCAGCGTGGTGGTTGGAAGCCGCAACCCCAAACGCACAGCCGGCCTGTTCCCCTCTGCAACACAAGTGACTTTCCAAGAGGAAGCAGTAGGCTCCCCTGAGGTCATCTTTGTGGCCGTGTTCCGGGAGCACTACTCCTCGCTGTGCGGCCTCAGTGACCAGCTGGCCGGCAAGATCCTGGTGGACGTGAGCAACCCCACAGAGCAGGAGCACCTGCAGCACCGTGAGTCCAATGCCGAGTACCTGGCCTCCCTCTTCCCCACCTGCACAGTGGTCAAGGCCTTCAATGTCATCTCTGCCTGGACCCTGCAGGCTGGCCCGAGGGATGGGAACAGGTAGGTAGGTGCTGGGGAAATAACGACCATCATAACAATAAATATCAATGGCTAACTTTCCGTGAGGGCCCTTCGGGGGCTAGGCTCTTTATAGTCATTGTCTCAGCTCATCTTACATCACTGCCAAGCTCCATTTTATGGAGGAGGAAACTGAGGCTCAGAGATGTTGATGAACTTACTTATGCTAAGTCTCATATTCCTTCTTCTACGGTAACTTGGTTATCTAGGGAGCAAGGAAGAAAAGGTTGATGGCTTTCTTTTTATATTTAGAGTCAAGAAGGGAGAGGCTGCTTTGCTTTTAGAAATGGACTCAGAAGGAGGAAAGGAACACACGTATGCGCCAGGCCCTGAGGAAGTGTGTATGTGTATGTCCCAAACTTTATCTCATTTATTCCAAGGTCTTCCAAGAACCAAGTGGATTTCTCAGATCCACGGAGTGGATTTCACAGGTTTTTCTGGGGGTGGAAAATGGCTCCAGAGAATGGCCAACGCTGCGTGCAGTTCTTGGCAGGAGGAGCTGTCTTAAGACAAGGTGGTTTTTAATGCCAAGAGGCCAAGCATTTTCCTGGAGGAAGAAGCCTGGTTCTACAAGTGTGTGAGAACTTCTACCAATGAGTCCAGCCCAGGGCCTCCTCTGCACAGCCCCATGCAGCTGTGGGGGAGCATGCAGGTGCCTGGCCACTCCTGTCTGCAGGGACTCCCGTATGTGGACAGGCCAGGAACAGTGGGTGAGTGTTGGGTGGCAGGACGAGAAGGGAACCGAGCTAGCGGCTGGCTGGAGAAGACTTTGAGGCCGACCTTGGCCTTAGCCCACCTCATATTGTTAGGCACAGTGAGCCGCAGGGCCTTCCAGGCTGAGGGGACAACCTGCAAAAGCACAGACCTCAGTTTCCTCACCTGAAAAACGAGGACAGTAGTACCTACCTGAAGGCTTGTGGCAAGGCTGAGGGATTACACATGTAAAGCCCAGTACACAGTGCTGGGTCAATGTTGGTAGACAAGAGTGACTGCAGCAGGGCCAGGAAGGCCCATGGAGTGTTTGAGGACCTGAGGACACCAATGTGCCTGCATGAGAGCTCATGGTGGGGAACGGTGGGCTGTGAGACTTGGGCTGGCTTGTGGAAGGCCTTGTGTGTTGGCTGAGCACCATAGGGGGCTGTAGGGGGCCGAGGGACATGATTGGAAGGGACACTTCTGGACTGAGGGATAGAGCTGCACCCATAGTTGCACATTCTGGGCCCTATGCGAGGCCCAATTGCTGAGCGACCCCCAGGGCAAACCACAGTCCTCGAAGCACCTATTCTAAGGGGCTGTGGTGGCTGCCTAGGTGGGCATTTTGCTTGTGGAGGCTGGTGGTAATAAACTGGACAAAACACTCACTGCTAGGTGAGCCCCAGCTGCTCTCCTTGAATAATGAGCATTGCTGGGCCAGAGACTGGGTGGCTACAAGGGGCCGAGGAAAGACCCCAGGCCTGAGAGAGCCACCCCCGCTCCCAGCTGTACCATTAACTGGCAGCTCGCTGGACCTCAGTTTTCTCAGCTGCTCAGTGCGGAGTTTGGCTCTAATGCTCTCTGCAGCCCTGCTCACCTCTCTGGCCTGTGAGCCTGTCTGATTCCCCTGCTTCTTCCTCCCACAGGTGCCCATCTGCAGCGACCAGCCAGAAGCCAAGCGCACTGTCTCAGAGCTGGCACATGCCATGGGCTTCACACCCATGGACATGGGGTCCCTGGCCTCAGCCCGGGAGGTGGAGGCCATGCCTCTGCGCCTCCTTCCGGGCTGGAAGGTGCCCACCATCCTGGCCCTGGGGCTCTTCATCTTCTTCTACGGCTACAACTTTGTCCGGGATGTGCTGCAGCCCTACGTGCAAGAGGGCAAGAATAAGTTCTACAAGCTCCCACTGTCCGTGGTCAACACCACACTGCCGTGCGTGGCCTATGTGCTGCTGTCGCTGGTCTACCTGCCCGGCGTGCTGGCAGCCATCCTGCAGCTGTGGCGTGGCACCAAGTACCAGCGTTTCCCTGACTGGCTGGACCACTGGCTGCAGCACCGGAAGCAGATAGGCCTGCTCAGCTTCTTCTGCGCCTCCCTGCACGCAATCTACAGCGTCTGCTTGCCTGTACGCCAGTCCTACCGCTATGACCTGGTCAACCTCGCCATCAAGCAGGTACAGCCATGCCCGTAGCCCAGGTTCCGGGACCAGCCGTGCCCCTGGGTGCAGCCTGCCAGTCACTGTGTTATCTGTGGATTCTGTCCTGACTGGAGAGTGCCCACATCCTGCTGTCCAAGATTTTGAGTATCAGTGAACAAAACATGACAAACCCTATGCTTGTGGGCACAGCCCAAGCTGGGGAGACTTAACCAAACACAGCAGTAAGTTACAGAGGGATTTTAGAAGCTCGTGAGTGCTAAGGAGAAACACCAAGCAGGGGAGAGTGGTGGAGTGCAGTTGGAAAGGGTGGTCAGGGGAGGCCTTGCTCGGGTGATATGTAAGCAGGGCAGGAGGGACGAGAGAGGGAGCCCGTGCTAGCAACGGAGCAGCAAGTGCAGAGGCCCTCTGACGGGAGCTGCCTGGCACAAGTGAGGAACAACCAGGAGGCCCGCGTGGCTGGAGCCGAGCAAGGGGGTGGCAGTGAGGCCTGACAGGTGGGAGCCAGACCAGGGAAGCCTTGAAGGCTGAGGACAGGCTTTGGCCTTAGACTCAGGGAAATAGGGAGCTAGTGAAGGCTTTTGAGTAGAGGAGTGATGGTCTGTCTGATGTTTTAACAGGCTCCCTCTGGCTATCAGTAGGGAACAGACAATAGGGAGTAAAAGGCAGATGCTGGAAGATCAGTTAGGGGGCTGTGCTGAAGCCCAAATGAGAGGCGATGGAGGTTGACAGTGGGGTGGGAGCAGTGGAGGAGCTAGAAGGTACCAATGCCGGAGTACAGAGACTCACACAGTAGATGGGAGGTGGTCAAGAATGACTCCGAGCCTTTGGTCTGAGCACCTAGAGGAGTGGAGTTGCCATCTGCTGAAATGGTGAAGGCTGCAGGAGCAAGATTTGAGGGCCAGTGGGAATAAGTATTCATTCATTTAGGAGACACATGGTACTCTTTGGCAGCAGGATTCCTGGGAAATGAGGGGCCTTCCGGCCAAGCCAGGTAGCAACACAGGCAGCATCAGCTGGTACCTATACCCACAGAAAGAGGCCCCCATGATGCTACCTTCTCATTTACAAGCTCACAGGGCCTGATTCTGAGTCCCAAGCTCAGGTCTGCAAGCAACACTGCCTTTCTTTAGTTTCTCCAACCTGCTTAATTCCACCTCCAGTCCCTAGCCAGGTGTATGGGTCCTGCCTACTCCAGGACACTAAGTCACCCAGCAGAGTTTGGCCCAGGTGCCAGTGAAACACTTCTTATCTACCCCTCCTTCCAACCCAGATGGCCTCTGCAGTTTCTGCTTGGGAGATACAGGGATCTTGGTGGAGCTGAGCCCTCCCCAGGTACACTCACCATGCAGCCATCCCCTTGGAGGCTGGACCACCTCCCAGAGCAGGATCAGGAGGCAAGGTTGGGCCGTTGCCTGGGAACCACAGACCTCAGCCCCTACTCTCTCTCAGGGCCTCTGCTTCCCTGCTGGCAGCTTCTCAAATGGCCTCGTCCTTCCCCACCCACGGACACCTGGCATCATGCATCTGTGTGCTTGGGCTTTCATAAGAAAAGGAGAAACCCAGACTTCAGGCAGAGAAGCAAGATGTCTGCTGGAAATTAGAGGAAGGGAAAAAATAATAGTCACAAACCTTTAAAAAAATAAAAAAGCTTGCTCTGTTCCAGGTACCATTTTAAGGGCTTTGCATACTCAGTGTCAATTCATTTAACCTTTATCTCATCTCTATAAGCCAGGTACTGTGCTACCCTTAATTTACAGATGAGAAAAGTGAGCCACAGAGAGGTTAAGTAACTTGACCAAAGTCACACAGCCGGTAAGTGACAGAGCTGGGATTCAGACCCAGCCATTCTGCAGATCCATACTGCTTTCTCTAGGGGAAGCACGTCTGGATGAACAGCTGAGTAAAGGATCCCAAAACTCAGCTCATTCACTCATTCATTCACCGAACTCCTACTCTACCAGGCCCTGGGATCCCAGAGGAGAAGAAGACATAGACAGTCTTGTCCCTCCCCTTAGCAGGTGTGGGGAGCTGTGATGCCCTGAAAGCCAGAACGCCTGGCTCTTGTCCTCCAGCATCCCTGATTGGAACAAAGACCTTGGCCTTGAGCAATTCACAACCCCCCTTTTGTCCTCAGAGGCCTGGTATGTAGACCCAGGTCTCTCCCACTGCTAATTTTTTGGATCCTCTTTGATATTTTCTTCTAAAAAGAGCCAGCCAACTAGACAGGAGGCTCTGTGTGGTTCCTCAGGGACTGGCACTGTTTGCTGCCCAGGAGGTGGCACATCTGGGTGGCAGGCATTTTAGTCAGTGGGTGGGGAAGAGGGAAATGCCCTTCCCCCCACACCACCCCTAGAGCCCAAGGCAAACCCCTGCTCCCCTCACCACCCTCTGACAGCCTTTGTCTAAATTCTCTGCCCTGCCAAGGCTCTCCTTGATAGTATATTAACCCAGTTTTGCCATGATGCAAATACCAGGGCACAGAGGGGTGCATGCCAGGTAGTTTCCTTGAGCTCCAAAGCCCTTTAGGGCTGTAGGCACCCCTTGTGGAGGTTGCCAGGCAACCATCACTCCCACAGGACAGGATCATTCTCAAAGACAGCGAATAGGTGTCATACAAAAAGGCTTAAATTTGTTCTGCAGAGTTCTGGAGGGCAGATCCAGGGCTGATGTGTGTATGTCAGGGACGGGAGATAGTTAGAGGAAGGCAGGGGGTTAACACAGCAGAGCAGAGCAGACCAGAAGTGGTGAGTTGCCCAGACCTGGAAGTGTTCAGATGCTGGATAGTCTGTGGGTCAGCCATGCGCTCAGGCTCTGAGACAGCACTGGAGTCTGGTCTCTATTCAGCTCCTAACAGCAGGGCCTCCAGGGCACCTGATGTGAGGCTTTCCCAGCCTACCCTTGGGCCACCCTCTCAGGGCCCCCTGGTGAGTCAGCACTCACCACACTACGTGGGCTGCCCTACTGGGCCTTTGGGGAAAGGGGCAGTGTTAGGGACGGCACAGGAGACTCTTTCTGCAAGGTTTCCTTTAAGCCCCTGAGTCTGCAGACGTGGAAGCAGAGCTGTATATCAGCTGTAGAGAAAATCTCTCTGACCATGTTCATTGATGGCATTATCATGGACAACAACTAATATTTGTATAGTACTTTCTGATTTGATTGTGTGGTTCCCTAGAAGTGCATTTCAAGATCAAGGTCAACATCAAAGAAAATGTTTAACCCACACACTGTTTTGTTCTTCCCCTCGCCCCAGATCTAGTCTAGGCTGTCAGGGAGAACTGTCTAAAATTCACATTTGACCGTGTCATTGCTGAAAAGTGCTCAGTGACGCCCCACTGCCCTCGGGATCATGATAGACTGTTTGCGATGCAGCCATACATGCTCTTCTCAGCCTCATCTCCCCACTGCTCCGGGGCCACATCTCACTCTGCTCCCATAGTATCCTCTGAACGGGTGAAACTCATTCCTCTTGTTCTGGGCTCCCCACCTTCAGACACCTTGACAGCCTGACAAACTCCTATTTTTCCTTCAAAACCCCACTTGTGTTAAACTCCCCCAGCCTATCTCCCTCATCCCCCATGCTCACCTCTGAAAAATGTATTTTGCCCACACTTCTATGGTTTTTCTTATGCGTAACTGTGTAATTGCTCTTTTGCATGCCTGTCTTCCGCCTGACTCCAAGTTCTGTGACTGGGTCTTCCACCCCTCGAGGCCCATGGTTCCTAATACAGATTCCCAGCACATGTGCACTGAGTGGCTGTTTGTGAACTTGGCCACCATGGAGCCAATACCAGGCATCTCTTAAGAAGAGTACGTGTAGAAACTGGGGCCAGAACCAGTCTAACTGCCCAGCTGCCATTAGGAACCACAGCACCAGCCACTTACATTAATCGCCTAATCTCTGCCAGTCACATGCTGCTCCTTCCACACACGTCCTCCTTTTCATCTTCGCAATTACACAGGGAGAAAGAAAATGATACCATTAGCCAGGGAAGGGACTGCCCTGGGTCCCATGACTGCCCCCAGGGCAGAGTTGGCATTGGAATCTGGGACTATGAGGCCATCCCCTCCCTCCCCCACACACCCCCCACTTCCCTTCTCACCTCGCCCACACACAGGCTGCCTCTTCCACATCCTGCCTCCCACTTCTCCAGGTTTGGCTGGTGGTTGGCACCACCCTCTTCCCACCCACCACCCATGGGACATGGAGAAGGGCTAATACTCAGCCCCACTGGTCCTCCTGGCCCTGCGTCCTTCAGGGTCTAACCTGCAACCTACAGGGAAAGGAAATCCCACATGAAGGCCACCTTTTCATCTCCTGTTGACAAACACTCTCCTTGTCATTCCCAAGGTTCTCTTCCTTGACTAGCTCTAAACATGGCAGCATTACTAGGGGAATGGAAAGTTTGATCTACGTTTCAGGCAGCCGTGTGCACAGCTCACAGGGAGCCCTGAGTACAGCACTGGGGCTCAGTAGGTTGGGTAAGAATCTCACAGGCTATGGAAGGTGGTTGGATCCAGGCTCCTCACCACCCACAGCTCCCTCACCTCCTCCCCATGCCCCTTCCTAGCATCCCTGCAGAGTGGAAATATTAGAGGAAAAAAACAAGACATTTTGCAAGCAAATGTGGTATGTGTGTAATCATCCAAACTCTGACTTGTGACATTAACTGCCTGATCTTACCAAAATGCGGAAGGTGATGACTAATGAGGTATACTTGAAGAACAAACAACTTGCCATGAGATGACTTAGTTAGCAGCCGTTGTTAAGGCTGCGAAGGTGTAAGACTTCTTCAGGCTCAGTGACTCAGGAGCCCTCTCTGTCCTCTGCGGGTAATAGCAGCCACACCTTTGTAGCTAACACTGACATTTGCTTGGTACACCAGCAGAGTCAGGATTTTAGACATGACCTTACCCAACTATCAGGTGGAGAAACGGAAGCCCAGAGGCACGTACAACTCGTGGTCAGGGTGAGACTGGGTCCTCAGACTTCTGGTCCTTTTGAGGTATAAAGACACCAAAGTGAGCCATCCTGCCCTAAAATAGAACAGAAGCAATTATTTTTCTCACATAGCAGGAAAACTACCCAAAGGATGGTATTTTCTGTTTTTTAAAACTTTCACTCATAAGCTTTTCAACCATTTTGCTCAGCCTACTAGATTCATTTTTAATATTATATCTGGTAACTGTGCTTGGATTATTTTCTTCCTGCTGAAATACTTTCTCAAAAACCTGTATGAATCATTCTGTTTTGTGAAGCAGAGGCCTACCTACTAGAGCACTGTCACGTTTCCTAATGGAAATACTCCTCCTCCTGCTGGTAGAATTAAAGGACCAGCATTTCATGGTGTTTCTCAGACAACACCTTGACTTCCAGGAACTCTGCTACCCGGTCTTGTTGGGAAATGGTTCTCATGGAAGGATGTTGGTAAAAGTACTTCCTCGTGTGTGCTGTATGAGTGAGTGTCAGCTGGGCTGGGATGGGGCTCAGCTGCAAGGACAGTCCAGCTGGGGAGGGAGGGAGTAGAAATCTCCGGGCCCACAGGACCCCTATTTGTGTGTCCCTGGAGCTCAGTGGGGGACCCAGAGCTCTGTGAGGGCAGATAGCCTCGTTCTCTGCAGCCTAGGGCCTGGCACACAGTAGATGCTTTGTAAGAGCTTGCTGGTCCACCTGGTGAGTGGATGTCAGTTTCTGCGGCTTGACAGTGGTAAGCCAAAGCTACATGCCTCAGACAGAAATGGGGAGCTGGGTGGGAAGGTGGGAGCTCAGGGCTTTGAATCAGGAAATGTTAACAGGCTTAGTGTCTGTGTGTGTGTGTCTGTGTCTGTGTGTGCCCTGAATGCGGGGCAGTGGTGGGGGCAACTTGGGGGACCAGGGAGGCAAAGGGTCCTGGGGGGGCAAGCAGGCAGCAGAAGCATGAGCCCATCAGGCTGAAGTGATTCTAGGCTAGGAGAGCCCCTCCATCCCTTTTTTTGGGGATTGGAGAACCAGAAAACCAGGTGATGTGGCATGTTTGAAGGGTCTGTATGTCTTGTTGACTTCTGACTTTTACCCGGCTCATGTGACCACCTGCTTGACTGGCCCTAGGCAGATCTGTGAAAGCTACAGGGAGGGAGCCCAGCCTTTGGAGCCAGACGGCCTGGGTCCTGATCCCAGCTCTGCCATCTCCTAGCTGAGTCTAACTGTGCGGAAGGTAGTTGATCTTTTTGCCTCGATTTCCTGTTCTGTAAAATGGGGATAAGAGTTACCTCTACCTGGGGTAGTTGTGAGGATTAAGTGATCTGATACCTGTAAAGAGCTTAGAGCAGAGCCTGGCACGTGGTATGTGCAGTGGAAATGTTAGTTGCTCCTCTGTGTCTTGCATCCTATGGTATTTGCTCACTTACATCCCAGGGCACCGACCATTGCCACCGTGTTCATGGTTTTCCTTCCGTCCACATCAGGTCTTGACTAACAAGAGTCATCTCTGGGTTGAGGAGAACGTCTGGCGGATGGAGATATACCTCTCCCTGGGAGTGCTGGCCCTCGGCATGCTATCCCTGCTGGCTGTCACCTCGCTGCCATCCATTGCAGATTCGCTCACCTGGAGGGAATTCAGCTTCGTTCAGGTACAGTAGGTCTGCCTCTGTTAGTGAGCCTCAGCTTGGCCCTGGCCTCGCCGCTCATGGGCAGGCACCTTCCCTTTGCAAACTGCCTTGGCTTTGATAACCTGTGTAACAGGGGACCGCTCAGTGAAATGCCAAGGGCTTCTGAACCCTGAGAGCCCATCCAAGTCTCCTGACATCTGGGGAAGCCAGACATATGCATGTAAAAAAATTAGGCAACAGATCACTGAACCCTGGGTGAAACAGTATCAGTTTCCACAGTTCTTGAGCTTCCCGAACAAAATCCCATGCTGTGCAGTCACTGGGCATTTCACTGGCCTAGCTGCGAGTCAGTGAACCAGTAAGTGAGCCTAGCCGACCACCCAGCTCCCTCTTCTCAACCCGGGTCTGTTGGTCCCTTAACCTTTTGATTCCAGCAGGGTGGATGTGAAATAAACATTGGGATCATCAGTATATAGGGGATGAAACACAGCATTTCCCGAGGGACACCATTCCTGTGAAAAACCCATAGAAAAGGAGGTCTGGAATCAAATGAATCGAAGTAAAGATTTGCATCTCCCTAACAGATTCACAGTGCTCTTTGGCACATCAAAGATTCTAATAACCTACAACAACAAACCTTGTTAACCAGACTTATTTGAGCATTAGCACTCTTCCCCTACCCCCTTTTTTTCCCAGATAACAGCTGTGTACACTTACAGAACACACACTGAGAAATGCTACTCGTGACAAAAGGTTCTTGATGCATTTATTCATTCAATAACTGTTTATTGAGACTTACTGCATGCCAGGCATCGTGTTAGGCCTGGGATACAACAGGGAACAAGACAGGCATAGCCACATTTCAATTATAAGGACGACTGAGACAGAGACCTCTTTTACATTTCTTTGTCGCACCTGCCACTATTTGCCATACAGAGTACATGGTCAGCTCCCAGTGTTGACAGATTAACTCACATCCCCTCCCATGGATGGGCGCTGACTAATCCTGGATTCTGCCACCACTATTGTGTCAGGGCAGAGAACAGCCATCGTCTCCACCCCCAATGTCAACAACAATCTGTTGCAAATCTCTGAGTAGCGAGGACACAGTACAGGACTCACAGAGGGACACTGATGGTGCAGTACTCTTATGTAATCCCAATTAATTGCTCCTGATTGGGAATGCTTATATACCTTAGAATAAGACAGCTGTGGTTTTGGGTTTTTTTTGTTGTTGTTGTTGTTGTTTTAAGTATGTTTGTTTCTAAATCTCATGGACTGTGCTTGTCTCAGAAGGTCCCTGGAGGAGTGCTCAGGGCTGACACATGCTGGCATTAAAGGGCAAAAACAGAATTTTATGACTTGGCCACTAATCCTTGTGTGTCGCACACCCAAATCTAGGATTTTCCTGTTCCTGCCTGGAGTATCCCAGGGCGCATGGTTTATCCACAATTAAAACAGACTGCAGGTTGCTCCCCTCACCAGTAAGTTGCTCCCTTAAGCAGCCGCAGATGACAAGCCAGGCTCTGGCTGCCCGAGAAAGCCAGAGGATTTGGTTTTGTTAGCCAAGCTGACTGGGACCTATGCAGCCACGCTCTACTTTACATATTGAAAGAGGACTAAGAAAGTCCTCCTGCCACTGCAAGGGCAAGGGGGTTGCAAGGCTGAGGGATGGGGAGAAAGGCAGGATTTTACTTGCAGAAATAAAATGCCCACATTCTGTCCACAAAAACAAATGCTCTCTCTCCCCCGGGAGTGCGGACACGGAGGAGGAGCTGTGAGCGCCAGGGAGCCTGTCCCTGTGCTGTCACTGTGGGCAGATCACATCTGCTCCCGGAGGCTCTTGTAAAATGGAGTAAGTGCCCTGCAAGGATGCTGTGAGCCACTGAAAGAGATTATGTGTGAAAGAAAGATCAAAAGCATTTTGCTATTATTCTTAGAGCATGTAGCCACATTTCCAATTATCCCCGACTAAGCTACCAATCAGCCATTTGTGAGTTCATTAGGTGGCAGCGAAAGAGGAGAGAGGCCAAGGGACTCTGACCCTAGGCGTGAGAATGGTCCAGGTCAGTGTTTGCAAACTGCCGTTGACACTCAGTGGTAGGTCATGAAATTAATGTAGTGGGTCACAGCCAGCTTTTAAAAACATGAATGGAATAGAAGGGCAAAGAAAACGTCAGCGTGCTTTGCATGTTGTAAAGATAGCTGTTTTTTTCAGTTGTGTTGATTCAGTGGTTATATATACATCTGTGGTATGCCTGGTTGTGTACTGGGAAGTAATGTGAAATGTGGTTCTTACTGTGAACCAGCAGCTAAAAAGTTTGAAGTCATGGGGCTGTCTTGGAGAAATACAAGGCCCATCCCTGACCTATGGACTCAGATGCCCGGGTCTGGCTCAGGGTGGCTCTGGAAGTCAGTTTGGGGCAGCTCCTCAGTGACTCTTAGGTGTGCATGATGCAGTGTGTGGCAGCCTCTAGGGAAGGGGACATGGATTTGGAGCCAGCAGACCTAGGTGTCAGTCGCAACACCACCACTTTCTAGCCCTTCGGATAATTTTTTAGCCTCTCAGAGCATCATGTCCTCATTTATGTCTGTGTGCACTTCCTGTGGTCATCGGGAGGATTTGAGTTGAGGACATGTCCAATACACAATACACACAACCAACAGTGGCTGTCTGATTTCTGAACTAAGCTGCAGTTTTCTCCTGTAAAGTTGGCACTGCCAGTGAGGAGCACCCTGAACCCCATTTCCTTCCCCTGCCACACGCGACCACAGCAGGTGACTGGGGGGCTTACAAACTTTCTATGGAGATGCCATGGTTCTCAATGGATCTGGCCTGACCCCTCGGTCTTTAATGATCTATGTAGCTAAAAGCCATAAAAAAGGTGTGTTGATTCCATAGAGATGACTTGAGTTTACTTTTTTTTTTTGTAGAGGGCAGTGTCACTGGCCCTCACATGTGGGATCCGAACCAGTTCCCAACCATCGCGCCACTCGGCCGGCCCTGGGTTTACTTTTATCCTTTTGTTCCCGAGGCTGTTTTCAACGTTTTTCATTTGGGTGTTTGTTTGGGTGGTGGCATTATTGTTTTGGTTTGGTTTTAGCTGTGGTAGCTGCTCCTAGTTAAGCCAATGAAACACCATTAAACTGCAAAATACCCAGGTAATGCGGCTTACCTGGACAGAGAAATTAGGATTCAGCTCTTAGCACCTCTCTTCTGCCCCAAGTCAGAGGAACTCCCTGAGACCCTGCCTGCTCCGGTCACCGGCCTGAATTAATGACAGAGAACAGCTCTGACCAAGCTTCACAAGCCTCCATACCAGTAATTGGGCACCAGTAGGAGCTACCTGAGGACATGGCTGCTTCTTTTTTGCTAACAAGCTTATATATAATAAAAATGGCCCTAGCTTGGGGCAGAGTGGGTATTAATTGCCCCATAACAATGCCTCCCTTTCTTTGGACCTCTTTTAGCTGTTCTGGGATTTTCAAATTGTTCCCAAGGAGAGTTTACAAAAACAAACCACTGGAATCCTCCAGGCTCCCATTGGGATTGGAAGTCACAAGGCCCTTTGTTACTGGCTGGCCTCTGGCTGGCAGTGCTCTCTCTGTGAACCGCTGCCCCAGGCTGGTGCTTCCTGCTATCTGTCACTGTGGGATTTTGGGGTGGCAAAAGGCAAGGATGTATGAAGGGCATCAGCATCTCCATACTCCCAGCATGTGTTCCACACGCCCAGCGCAATCCATCGCTCTCCATTAGGGGCTGGGGATGGTGGCTCCACGGCATGTCGCTGAGGGAGGTACTAAGGCCTCACCAGGGCTAGGTTCCTAAGCCCAGGTGGGTTCTCATGGCTGCAGCAGCTGGGAAACCCCACGATGCAGAGTGTGGACACATCGAGGCCCTCAGTGGGCCGCTGTCAAAGGAACAGATGGGTCCAGGTTCACGCCAGCAACTGGCCTGGGCAGACGGGCCATGAGAACGCCTCAACTTGAAGCTAGACGTGCTTGGGTGAGGAAAGTCTCATAAATTAGTGGTTCATGGTCCTGGCTGCACATTAGCATCGCTGCTGAACTTCTAGAAGCTACCGATGCCTGAGCCCTAACCGAAACCAATTCAATCTACATTTCTGGGACTGAGGCTTGGGCATTAATATTTCCCCAAGCTCGGGGCCAGCCGAGTGGCTCAGTTGGTTAAGATCTTGCTCAAGACTGAGCTCTGAGCAACAGAATTGCTGGTTCGATTCCTGACCCGAGCTGAGCTGCCAACAGGTGGCAGGATAGCTCAGCTAAAATTATTTATATATATATATATATATATATATATATATATATATTTTTTTTTTCCATGCTCCTCAGGTGTAGCCAGATTTGCAAACCACAGTCTCAGACTGATAAACTCTCAGGGATAAAAGACACTTCCCAGCTATCTCAGCAAACCCCATAATCCACACCAGTAGGCTGAGCAAGGGTTTGCAGCTGGGCAGCTGGCTGGGGAACGTCAGGATGGTTGTCAGGCTTGTTCAAGATTTATTTCTGATGTTTAGTGCTGGGACCTTATCCCCTGCCCCCCTTAATTTTTTTATTGTGGCAAAATGCACATAACATAAAATTTACCATCTTAACCATTTCTAATTATACAGCTCAGTGGCATTAAGTAAAATCATAATGTGCAACCATCACCACCATCTATCTCTAGAGCTCTTTTCATCTAGCACAACTAAAACCCTGTGTCCATTAAATAACTCCCCATGCCCCCTCCTCCCACCCCTGGCAGCCAACATTCTACTTTCTGTCTCTATGATTTTGACTACACTATTGCGTCATAAAAGTGGCATCATACAGTATTTGTCTTTTTGTGACTGGCTTATTTCACTTAGCATAATGTCTTCAAGGTTCATCCATGTCATAGCATTGTCAGAATCTCATTACTTTTTAAGGCTTAATAACAGTCTGTTGTATATGTACACCACACTTTCCTTATCCATTTATCTGTTAGTGGACACCTGGGTTCTTCTACATTTTAGCTACTGTGAATAATGCTGCTATGAACAAGGGTGTGCACATGTCTCTTCAACACTCTGCTTTCAGTTCTTTTGGGTAAATACCCAGAAGTGGAATTGCTAGATCATATGGTGGTTTTATTTTTAATTATTTGAGGAATCTCCATACTGTTTTCCACAGTGTTTGCACTAATGGTGCACATGTTTCCAGTTTCCCCACACCCTCGTCAACACTTACTATCTGGGGTGTATGTGGGTGTGTGTTTTGTTTTTGTTTTTATTTTTCGTTGTTTTTCCCCTTCTGGTTTTTTTTTTTGTTTTTTGGGTTTTTTGGTGTTTTTTTAAAGATTGGGGAATTTATTGGGGAATTGGGGGGGAGGAACAGTATTGGGGAATAGGGAAAGGGGAACAGACAAGTGCTGTCCTTTTGTTCTTTAGCCTAGTTGTGGAGGACGTCACTTCACTGGCCCATGTTGATATTATCATTGTGCTCTACCCGGGTGAGGCAGATTGGTCGCCGGCCACTGGACCTCCACTCACGGCGGCTCTTGGCAGCTCACACTGGCTGCTAGCTACTCATGGTAGCTTTACAGCAGCCCACTGCAGCCTCACTGCAGCCTATGCCATCACCAGAGACTCACAGCAGCCCAGTTCCAGGTCAAGCTGTTGTTCACCATCTTAGCTGTAGAGGGTGCAGCATCACTGGCCCTCATGTGGGATCCGAACCAGGGCCTTGCTGCTCACAGCTGGTGTCCCAAGCCAACTCTTAACCAACACGCCACTCAGCCGGCCCTGGGGTGTTTTTTTATTATAGCCATCCTAATGGGTGTAAGGTGGTATCTCATTGTGGTTTTGATTTGCATTTCCCTAATGATTCGTGATGTTGAATATCTCTCTTCTTGTGCTTTTTGGCTGTTCGTTTATCTTCTTTGGAGAAATTTCTATTCAAGTCTTTTGCCTATTTTTGAATTGGGTTGTCTGGTTTTTTCTTGTTGCATTTAGGAGATCTCTATATATTCTAGATGTTAACCCCTTATCAGATATATGATTTGTAAATGTTTTCTCAGTGCTGGGGACCTTTTAAACCCCAGTCTTCTTCAATATCAATAGATCAGGCCTTGGAAAAGGTTGGCGTGGTTTAGAACTTGCTAGGAGATTTGGAATTCTTGATTGACATGTCTGAAAGTGACAAGGATTTGACTACATGTGACTCACAGTCAAGGAGGTCTCCATTTGGGGGCTGACCATATTAATATGACACATGAAGCAACTGGGTAGTGGTATAGAGCCAACCATGGCCTTTCCCAGTGGGCCGTGTTGAGCCAGGAAGTTGTTAAGGATGGGATAAAAAGATCCTTGACGTGGTCACAAAGCCAAGAACCGCCAGAGATGGCTAAGAAGGGTAGACACTGGGAATCTATGGCAAGCTTGTATTTTAACTGGGGTCAAAAATACAGTAATTGGGAACCTGTCTATGAACTTATAGTGGATAGTCATTGGAAAATGTTTATTATTGCTTTAAATAAAAGCTTTACCAGCAGTTCTTCCAAATCATGTTTTCCACTTACTGAGGTTCACCATCCTAGTGTTTACACTAGAGTGGGTCCAAGCAGAGCAGCCCCCGCTCTAGGGAGGCATGAGAATGAGGCATGATGGCAAAATCAGACCCACTTAGAAACGTGTCTTAGGGGAATTCAAATAAGACAGTACCTCCTAGCCAAACCTCTGTATCGATGCTGACATGCTGGGCTGGAAGGAAATCCAGGAAGTCCAATGGCAGCTTCTCTGTGGAAAGCTCAAAACCAACCTATGAAGAACACCCTGAGGTACTGCCATGCAGCCACATTTCAATGAAACCCTCGCATTGAGTCCTTGTAGAAGATGCGTGTGTTCTGTTCATTGCTTGATGGGCCACTGCTATTTTCATTCCTTATGTAATAAAACAGGTTTCTTTTGCCCCAGATCTCTCAGTGGTTCCTCAGTGCTTATAGAATCAATCAGACCTGCCCTGTGCCCCCATAAGCCCTAACCCTCGGCTCTCTCTGCTCTCCATATGGGGGCCTGCATCTACAGAGCACGGCCCCTGCATCTCTGATTTTAGCTTTTGGAATCACTTACTTCTCACTGAGGCTGAGTACGTGACTTGCCCACGGTCACAGTGCCACTCGAGACAAACACCAACAGTAGCATCTAGAATGCTTTATTTTTAATCCACAAGAAATCTGACGTGCAACAGCTTCCCCAAGGCTGGAGTTACCGAGCTGCGCTTTTTAGCTCTTCTCACACACAGTTCCCACAGAAAGTCATCTGTGTATATGGCACTTGACAAGGAGCTAATCTTAGCTGCAAGTGACCCGTACATGGCTTAAGGGGTGGGGCACTCCATTGTAAGATGACCCGTACTGTTTCTGTTTGGATTTGTGATGGTCTTGATCTCCCCGTGGTCATTAGCCTCCTTCCAGGCAGGAGAGTAATCCTGGTGGGCTTTCCACCAGGTGTTCATGACTCAGCGTATGGGCAGGTGGTAAGGGACCGGCACCCTCAGAGAGCATCTGCATGGTGTCCTGGACTTTATGTACAGTGTCAGATCACCCAGTCTGCAGGCCCTGGTGAGCCACCTTCACTATCAATGCCAAATCCATGTGTCAAGTACATTTTTTACTTTGTGTTTATTATCTTTGAATCAACTTAAAATTCATTCACATTTTTATCTGACTGTAGGCCAAATATTATCTGTGAAAATTATGATTTTGGTATGCTGGCAGACACTTGTGCCTCTAATATACATTAAAACATACACAAACTCAGTAAAATGTTTTTAAACATCTTTGAATATGTAAAGTCCTCTGGCAGCCACCAAAGGCATGAATAACAGTTATTTTATCGAATCCTCATGAATCAGTTAATCCTTCTATACCTTCAGGGAAGAAGCATTATCTCTGTTTTTCTGGTGGGGAAACTGAGGCTCAGAGAGTTTAGGTAGTAATAAGATCATGCAGAGGGTGAGTAACAGGACTGGGATTTGAGCCCAGAGCCCTGATGGCTAGAGCCACATTCCTTTCTTCCCCTCTGCCGGCCAAGCAGAGGGGCCATTGGTGGAATCATGTATCCGTCATCCCTGGGCCCTCACTCCAGCCTTCTTTTCTCCCACAGTCCTCTCTGGGTTTTGTGGCCCTGGTGCTGAGCACCCTGCACACGCTCACCTATGGCTGGACCCGCGCCTTCGAGGAGAGCCGCTACAAGTTCTACCTGCCTCCCACCTTCACGCTCACACTGCTGGTGCCCTGCGTTGTCATTCTGGCCAAAGGTCTTTTCCTCCTGCCCTGCTTAAGCCGCAGACTCGCCAAGATCCGGAGGGGCTGGGAGAAGGACAACGCTGTCAAATTCACACTGCCAATGGACCATGCACTAGCCCAGAAGACGAGCCACGTGTAAGGAGCCTGCTGCACCTGGCTCTGGAAACAGACGCAGGCAGGACGGGCCCCCGAGCCTGTCAGGGGATTCTTTTCTTGATCGTGCAGTATGGTGTAATGTGCACCAATTGGTGGTTTAAAGTCCGAATTCCAGGGATGCAAATGTATTCAATAATATTCAGAACAACACACGTGTGTGTGTGTGATATATATGTTCATATGTATTTCATATATATAACTGGATTTGCAATTATACTTATTTAGCTAAAATGTTGAGTCCCTGAGATTTTAACTGGTAGATTTAAAAGCAAGTGCCAGATGTTAGGAGAACAGCAACTCACATTATTGTGACATTTGCAGAGATAAGACAGTGAGGGGCTTGTATCTGGGTGGAATCGACCCACTTGTGTCTCCCCTTTTGCTACTTTCCCGAGGCTCTCAGAGCTGGGGCTCTAAGGTGGCAGGGCAGACAGGAGCTCTGCCTGCAGCCCAACCGTGCCAGGCTGTGCCAGGCTGAAGAGTCGCCAGGGATCAGGGGGTGGGGGGAGCCTTTTATCTGTGCCCTGAGAGTCCTTTGCCAGGTTGGGGTGGGGGGCAGGGAGGGAGTTTGGGGCTGAAGTTGCTCCCCCTAATCCTCCCTAAGCTAGGGAGATTTTTTTCCTTAGTCAGAAGTCAGCCCTGCCGCTGCAAATTGATCCTCCTGTGGGAGTGTGAAGTCACCTCCTTCCCAGAGCCATTAATGAACCCTGTCTTGAGAACAAGTGTAATTTCTTTCCCTCCTTTAAGTTGGTGATGACCGTTCTTTCAATCACTATGCCTTCTCACCTTTTAGATCGTCAGTTTGAATGTCTCCAGAAAGGCCTAGAGCAGACCCTCCAACAGTCCAGGGGGAGGGGAACAAAAGGCAGAGCACCCAGAATCACAGCCGAGCTCTTCTGGGGGTCCTGCCCAGGACCAATCGTCTTCATTAAATTGGTCCTGTGGAAAAACACCGGGAATCTCATCAGATGTCCTCTGCTGCTGCTGGGCAGAGAAGCCGCCTTCTGAGCACCCAGAAAACCACACTGGCCCCAAGTTCCTCTTATTGGAGGGTCAAATTTCAAAATAGCTTTTTTTCAAAATAGTCTTTTCCATCAAAGCAACAAACTTGAAATGCTGCTGCCCCAAAGCATAAGAAGCTGGACCACAGCCAGGGCCACAGGACATGTGCCCTTGAGTCATTTGCCATCCTGCTCTGATCCACACTGAAGCTGTTGTCACTTCCCCTGTGGACACACAGTTAGTTGTTCTCTAAGCGCCCCACCCACCCACCAGCTTCTGGCAGAACTAGGGTAATCTGTCATCTCCACAAAAAAAGCACCTTTGAACACGGGGTGAAATCCTGATGGAAGACATCAGTGAGATGCACACTGAATTCTACTCTGAACGGGGAATGTGGGTCCCACTCCTATTTCTTAGGTCTCCTGGGCCAGAGAGCATCTTAGGGTGGAAGAAAGCGAGTCCAGCCTGCAAAAGCTGAGCAGATAGTGCTACCGGGAGACGATGCCCCTGCCTCCCCGGGGAGGCTGCATGAGCTCATGTCTGTGGAGCACATTAGGGTGCTTTAGTGAAAAGGAGAAAAAAGAAAAAAAAAAAGCCAAGGGTAAGACTGTCTCATGAGGACAGAGACTGATGGAGGGAAGGGCACAGGCAAAGCGATCACTTCCTGCAGGTGTTTTCTAGCTGCTGCTCCAAAGCCAGGCAGCAGAAGCCTGTCTCCTCTATTGGCCCTGATGGAGCAGCAATCATGGCACACAGGGAGGCTCGCTGCAAAGGAGGCAGGCAAAACAGAGCTTTCGGCACTTGCTTGGCAAAAGAAGGGGCCAGCAGTTTCCTGCTGATAGGTAGCAGGGAGAACATGGGCTGCTGGAAACCACCCAGGATCACCAGCCCCAGCTAGTACTGGCTGCCTTCCGACTCCCAGCCTCCCTGGGCCTTGGGATGGTTCTTTACGCCAAAGATGCTGACACAGGGCAAAGTCCTGTATGCTGCCTCCCCTTCCCTGCCTACCTCCTGCTGCAGGTGCTCCTCAGAAGGGAAAGGATGGCAAGGTGGGTGGCAGAAAAGAACAGGTATAGCAGGGGACCTGCCAACTGGATAATCAACTCACGAAAGGCAAGGTGGGCTGTGGGCTTGGCCTTGACCTTGTGTCTGCTGCTGCTCTTCCCTACCTCACCAGGCAGCTGGCAACAGCATCCCCAAGAGAGCAAGTCACTTCCTTAGAGCCTGGGAAATTCTATGTGCCTCTGGGTGCAAAAGTGCCTGAACCAATGTACTCTGGGAATCCTAAATGCCACGATCAGAGGTGGACATTTAAAATGTATGCCATTGAAAGAGTCTGTGTGTTTTGTTTTGCCCTTGTAGAGCTTGTCTAAGAAGCAGCGAAAATAAACACCTGTGAAGTTCAGGCTTTTATTCCTGTCATGTCAATCACCTGCCCATTGATTCGTTCATTGGCTCAATGAGCCTTCTGACTGGAGCTTGGTATAAGTTAGGCAATGTGCAAGGTTAGCACAGAATGATCTGGGCTAGAGCTCACCTCTTAAGGAAGGGCAGACATGCAGCCCTCCAGCTATAGGCCAGTAAGGAAAGCTGCGAGATCCAGGTGACAAGCGTAGGGCGATGTAACAGGAGCATCCAAGGCCTGCAGAGGGGTGGGGAAGGCTTCCTGGAAGGAGCAGCATCTGCACTGTGGGTTCAAGGCTGCAGCCTTGAATGTAGGTTAGAGCAACAGTGCTTCTAGAACTATAATGTACATGAGAGTTGTATTGGGATCTTGTCCACACACAGGTTTTGATTCGTTGGTTCAGGATAAGGCTTGAGGTTATGCATTTCTAATAAGCTCCCAGGTGACATGGATGGTGTTGATCCTCAGACACTCTGAGTAACAAGGGCTGAAATGTTCCCTTTGTGTCTGCTGTGCTATAATCTACAGCCCACAAGCCAGGGCACACAGATCTCTCTGCCCCATGAATTGCCCCCAGGTGCCTGGTGCCCTGGCTGTCCTAGCAAGCTATGCCTCCTCACTGCCCATGCAGCTCCAACCCCCTTGTTCTCTTAAAGGCAGAGGAAGGAAACACTACCAGAGCCAAGGCCATGTCCTCTGTGCTCCATGTAGGATGCCCCTGGGTGTCCCACACAGCTGCCCTGGGTCCATCAGGAAAAGAATAACTCTTCAGAGACCACCCACCTATCATGCAGTCCAGCTTTTCCACTGAAGCAACCAGAATTGTCTTCCTGTGCAGGGAGGACAAAAGAAACCTATGTGCATAAAGCAGTATAATGGGTAAAAAAACATTTCTTGAGAATAACCAAAAGTTGGCCTTGACATTTTGAGCCCAAGATAACAGTTTTCCAAAGAAAGAACCATGGCCAAAAAACAGCTTCATTACAAATAATTATTAACAGGAAACTAAATCTTGTGCTTAGAAATTTGTTTTTCTACTCTGTCTTCCCACACAACACTGGGAGAGTTAAGTTTCAAAGGAACTCATAAAATAGATGAAAAATCACTATTCAGGTAGCTCACATAAGAACTAAAGAGCAACCAAAACAACTCATATCAAAGAGTTGAATTATCATCCAGCTATTTGACAAGCTGAATCTTATCCAAAAGCAATGGAATGGGCCCTTGGAAGTGCAGAAGCTCTCTTGTCACTTCCTTGAACTCTACAAAGAGGAAGTTGATACCACTATCGTAGAAACTCAATCCCATCAGACCAGCACCAACTTTTTCTCACAAATATGTTGAAAATCCCTTTTTACTAACCTAAGATGATTCAGAAATAATATAACCTACCTATATGTATAGTTTTTAAAAAATCAATTCAAGGTCTCTGTTGAAATATAAAGTAGAATAAAGTAATTCACACTAAAATATATATATATA